ATCCATGTGCATTTATCTGTTTGTTTAATAGTCATTCTGCCTAAGAACACACAAAGTAGGGATCATGAATGCCTGATGCCCACTGCAGTGTAGACATACTGTTGGTATTTCCTGGTATATATATGAAATGAATAGATGTTGATGGTTAGGTCACAGGGGAAGAGACCATGGATAGTTCTCTTTAAATTTTAACTGGAAAAACTTCCATTCCTACCAACTGACTGACCCTCACTGAAATAACCATGGCTAATAGGATGTCATTCCCATCTCTAGTATTCCAGTGAGGTTCACCATGAGATATTAGATATTTTAAAGTCCTCTTAGACCTATCTGCTTACATGCCCCTTGACCTTTCTAAAGCTCTTACCCCTTGCTGGATACAAGAAATTATAGGGGTTCTGTTGTTTTCTCTGCACTATTTGGAAAGAGAACATAGGTCTTTTGTTCTGAAATCCTCCTATCCATCTTGGTGTTCTCTGCCTTGCTCCTCTCTAGACCTGGCCTATAAAACAACAACTACTTTCAAGGACTAATTTTCAATATCCAGGTTATAGAATCAGCCTAGGTGTCTGTCAACAGATGAATAAAGAAAATGTGGTATATAAATCCAATGGAGTTTTATTTATCTCAAACAAGAATAAAAGTATACCATTTGTAGGAAACTGGATGGATTTGGAGAGTATCGTGTTAAGCAAAATAAGCCAGAGTCAGAAAGATAAGTGTCATATGTTTTGTTTATATGTGGGAAGCTAGAGGGGAAAAAAAGAGGGATTGGCATGAAAGTAGAAAGGAAACCATTGGGGTAAAGGAAGGGGATGAATTGGAGAGAAGAAGGAAGAAACAGGTGCAGTACTAGGGATTGAAACCAATCAAATTATGTTATATACATGTATGAATATGCCACAATAAAACTTACCACTCTATATAATTAATATGCACCACTACCAACAAAAAGAACCTAATTTCTTCTCTGCTTTCTGACCCTCTTGCTTTCCTCTGGTCTGGAGGTGTCTGTCAACAGATGACTAGATAAAGAAAATGTGGTATAAAAACACAATGGAGTTGTGTTTTTTTATTTTTTAAAATTTCTTAGTGGTGGATAGCAAGAATTCTCATCCATTGGTTAAGTGTTCCTCCAGGTTTCTCTTTTGCTTTTCCTTTTTTTTTTTTCATTGAACCCAGGGATTTGTGCATGCTAGGAGGCACTCTACCAACTGAGCCATATCCCCAGCCCTAGCAGGTTTCTCTTTTATAGCAGTATCTATTATACTGGTTGGACAGGGAGAATGTGAAAGAGTATACAGGAATTTGGGAGAAAATACCCCAGGGTTAATGTTTCAAAAATATCAACTGGGCTAATTTCAAAGGAACGGAATTAGCTGTGGTTATCCTAAATTTCCAAAGTCAGTTTACTATTGACTCTAGAAAGACAAATGCATGCCACTTGAGAAAGAAAACAGGAGGCTTGCAAAATGAGTGAGTCTCCTGAGGTGCCTGTTCTTGCTGCTGTCATGAAGTTTCTCCTGAATAGTTGAGACTGTGATAAAATAAATGTCTGTCATGTTATTTAGAAGGGGTGACAGGCTGAGAGTCATTGAGCAAGTGACAAATTGTCCTTGACTTGGTAAGCTTCCATGCTGTCTTTGGTTGATATGGATCTTGTATTGAGTGATATACAGTGAGAGTTTCTTTTGTCAGTCCAGTGACACAATTTTAGGCAAGGAAAGCATTTCTCTGTGTCAGCTAGAGATGATAATAATAGATATCACCTGCCTTAATAACCTAACTACATCTGGAAAGTTGTGGGTAAACAAGATTTTACGCTTTATCATCAGGCTTCCAGACAGGGCTCAGGTAACTGTATGTAAAAATCTCATGCTCCATTGCATAATAGTTGGTGTTTGTAAAGAAAAACAAGCATTTGTTCCTTCACAGCAAGAATATATTACAAGTTTGTGTAAGGATTTATATTATCGTGCTTAACCACTGTGACTTTTACAACTGCATGCTAGCTGGAGCACAGTAAATTACTGGAAAACCACCATGAAGCTTTGCCTGCTGTTTTGAAATCTTTAGAAGTTACAGAAAAACATAGCTTCATATGTCATTTCCATTCCCTTTGGGCATATCAACAGCCTGAGATGCCCCTCCTAATAACATGTCAAATTCTTGATAGAAGTTTTTCTACAGAATAGGTTACCAATCATGTATTTCTCTAGAATCTACTTCATTATCGAGAGGCCTAATGTACTATTTAATACCTAACAAAACCAATGTGAGCAGGGTGTGGTGATGCACACTGTAATCCCAGTGGCTTGGGAGGCTGACAGGAGGATTGTGAGTTCAAAGCCAGCCTCTGCAAAAGTGATAAGCAACTCAGGGAGACCCTGTCTCTAAATGAAATGCAAAATAGTGCTGTTGATGTGGTGCCCCTGATGTGGTTGATGAGTGCCCCTGAGTTCAATCCCTGGTACCCACCCCGACCCCAAAACAACAAAAAAACAATGTGAATGTACCTGTTAGGGGAAGGGAACCAAATGTTCCAACTTTTTAAATTGTAGTCATATTTAAAGACACCTGTAAATGGCCAAATGGAGCCTGAAGTGGATGAGTCTCCTAGCACAGAGCTACCCTTTCTATTGCAATTGACTTGCTGTTTGTGGAAGCAGCTAGTGCCTGTTGGTTGTCTTTTAGGGATGGGATGAATTCAGAATTCATCCTATCTAGGGAGAATGAAGACTAGGGAGAATATTTAAAACGAATAAGACGTTAAAGGACTCAAAATTTCAGAAAAATTTTACTTCTCAATAATGGTCATCTTCCAGTAGAAGGATTTTCTTTTCAGACACTGGAAAGCAAAAATCTAACAGCTTTTATTGGTCAGGAAAAAGGTTGTTTGCTATTCATCCAACACTAATGTAGGATAAGGGCACTTTTAAAGTTTTCCTGCTTGTGGTCTTAATTTCTAGGACAGATTTCCTAACTTAAATTTTGTTGTTGTTTTTGATCATAGATTATCACTGAGAAATAGGATGGGGGGAAGCTACAAAATAGTGTGCTGACTGCAATATTAAAGCTTTTAGGCCCTGAAGCTGACACAAGTAGCCAATTTTACCTAAGATATAAACACCTTCTACAGTAAAACAAAAAAAAAGCCTTGTTTTGAATTAATGAAAACTTTATAGAGTAATCATGTATATAATAATGGTAAGAGCCTACTTATCTAATGTGACTGGGACTGGTACTTGGTTGACTAGAGGAAACAATTTTAAAATGACATGATTAATTAAGATATCAATTTAAATCATATGCTACATTTTCTCTAATTTTTTGATGTACAGCCAACATCTAATGTCCTCTGATTTGAGTGCCCTTCAACTATTTGCATAAACCACATCCATAATATATTAATTAAGTTTTCCAGATTGATCTTCTATAATGTGGAATGAGAATTTAGCAATCTGAACTCATAATACTGGATTTTTACATGTTTAACCAACTTTTTAGAACTGTTTTGCCAATTACTTGACAGCAATTTTTTTCAATTTGTCAGTCGAGTCTTTTGGTAAACATTTGATTTGTTAGTTTTCCTGTCAAAGATAACTGATATGTCATCAGTTTATATAGTATGTAAGTCATAAATTTATAATACTAAGCACACTTGGCATAAACAGACATAAACACAATGATTTGGGTAAGCACAGACCTCAACTGGAAGGGCAGAAGTACATAGGTGTGCAGAGTAGCAACTAGCCATGGGTACTCCCTATGGCAAGGGCAGGGTGAGCACTTGTTATACATGACTGGAGACTGATAGAAAATTTCTGAATTTGTTAAAGGGCCTTTAATTAAGAGAGTTTCTGCTATAAATACATTTTAATTAATATGCATATGTAGTATCTCTTAAAGAACATTTAAAAAATGTTTGCTAGTATAGGTCCTACAGAATTTGCTGTAATGAACAACCAAAGCTCACTTATAATCAGCAGAACTTGTCTGTATATACATAATTGGTGTTCTGAAGTACTTCCTCCAGCAATCTAGTTTACACTCTGGTACTATAATTGGTTTGTTCATCAGAAGTTTTTTCTTAGATGAGAATAGATAATGTTTTGGTCCAATTCTCATTGAGTATCACAATTTTTAAATTAATGATTTGGAATTTTAATGAACTATTCTATTTATATATGCTAGAGATCCTAAATACTCCTATCAGTGTTTTCAGTTAACATTTCTTTCTCCTAAATACTGGTAGCAATAAAGCTTGATATATCAAGAATAGTTTTAAAGTGAAAATAAGTAAATATTGTTTTCCTACTGATAGAGGTGTATGTGTGTATATATGTGTATGTGTTTATACATAGACAGAAGGAGACCCAGAAAGAGGCAAAGAGAATGACACAGAGATGACAAAGAAAAAAGTCATACAGAGAGACAGTTTTAGATATTATATATTTATATGTATTTATATTTTTAATAAAAATGTTTATATTTATATTATATATAATCAAATCTATTATATTATAATTATATAAATTGGTATATATTTTATATATAGTACATATATTTATATATAAATGATGCATATATATGGATATAAGAGAAAGTGACAGAAACAGAGAAGGTAGAGTCAGAGAAAAAAATTAAAAAGCAGAGGAAAATGAGGCAGAAATAAGATGTAAGCAACAGAAACAGAGACCATGAGAGAGACTAAGTGAAACCAAACCCTCTAGTGAGACAGAAGAGCCACCCCAGCAATGTTGCTCAAGACTAGCTTCATATCTGCCCTCTACCGAATTGGATGTATGTAAGTTAGAGGCCTTGGGGAGACCATGTCACTGACCAGGACAGGGAAGCAGGCCCAGGGCTCACCAGGAGACAGTATCATAACAACACTAGACCTACATCCTGGGCATTAATTAGGTCGTTCTGTACCACTTGCTCATATGTGTTAAATGTGTTTTCCAACTCTGAATGTATTTAAAATGTTTTGGCTGCAGAAAGGTACTAAAAGAAATCTCTGTTGGAGAGTTAAATCCAAATGAGACTGTGCAGGCCAATTTGGAAGCCCAGCTCCTTTCCAAGCTGGACCATCCAGCCATTGTCAAGTTCCATGCAAGTTTTGTGGAGCAAGATAATTTCTGCATTATCACGGAGTACTGTGAGGTGAGACTCTTCTTCTCTCTTGGAAATGTTAATAAAAGTCTGTTGCATAGTCAAAAACCTTATATAAAGAGCCATCTGGTCAATTATCAAACTATAAGTTAAACTATAAAGACTTGGAATCTCATGTCTTGGAGCTAAGAATAATCATCTCTAAGTAACTGACAAAATTCCTTTTAAAATTTTGTTGTTATTGCTGTAAATGGGCACAATACCTTAATTTTATTTATTTATTTTTATGCGGTGCTGAGGATGGAACCTAGTACCTGACACATGGCAGACTGGCACTCTATCACTAACCACAACCCTAACTCCAACAAAAATCATTTCTAATTTCCCTTTGGAAAATTCAGTAAGAATGAATATAATTTAAGGAGAAATACATGCAGAAGACGTTTCAATATTTTTTGCAGAGGGTGTCCACCAAACCTTAGATGGACATTTAAATACCCTAACAGAGGCCTGGACAGAGCAGAGGTATATCTCCTGAGTTTTGGCTTCTAGTTTTATGGCTTATTTTACTTAATGGAAATTTGAAAATGCAAATAATGCCCCCCCCACTGCTGAAATCCTTCATATATATTGATTTATGATTTATGGCTTCAGGTATTTGCAGTTTTTCCTGCTACTCTCTGTTCTTTCCAAGTAACAGCTTTGTATTTTACCGAGCCCCAAGAAGGGGAAATTGACAACGTGTAGCTATAGTGCAGATCTGTTACTCCTGAGGGGTTAAGTCTGGGAGAGGTGGCAGGGTTGGGTTAGGCAGGAGAATATCTGAAGATAAATTACTCAAAAAGTATCTCCCAGAGTATTCTGGGAGCAAGGATTAGCCAAATGCTTCTCAGTATAATTTGGAACTGTTTAGAATGAATTTAGTCAGCTCATCACTTGGGTGTTTCTGGAACCCCAAAGAAACAATGCTGGGAAGAAAGAAGTACTTTAAAGTAGAAGTCAGGCTTTTTTGGGTCAGAAAGTTTGGAAATCCACATACAATCCGAAGGTGCCTGGTCTATCATAGGCAGGAGAAGGAAAACAAGCTCAGAAGTACAAATGGCAATGAAAACCAGCCTTGCCGGCTTTACACATCATCTGGTGTATCACCCAAAGTGAAACCAATAGCAAAATTTATTTGAATGAGTTGGAAGCATTCCAGATTTTGACCATTTTCCTTTAGATCAGCCTCCCCAGCTCAGCTTTGCTGGGTGTTTACTCACTTAGATCTTGCCCATCTTCTATTTGGAGGAAAGTGGGGAAAAAGAAGAAAACCATGTCATTTGGATATCATCTTCTCCGTTATCTAATGAACTCTTAAGAAAATCAATATGATGATGAAGTGTATCAGAGTGCTGGTGGTACTGAACAGATTTTATTGCAAATGTGCTACTAATCCATTCAAAACTATAGATATTTGCATAGGTACTGTACTATGATTCACTGGCTATAATTTTCTTCTTTAGCCTCTTTAGTTAATAAAAGTCTTATATCAGAAATAACTAACTCCAGCTGCTCATGATGAGTACTTCTACATTCACTACTACCTTAGTCTTAGTTAATCTTTCAAAGACTCTTTACTGCCTGTTCTTAAAATATTTTAAATTGTATTTGGCACTGTTCAATAAAAATTACTGTGATGCTGGAAATGATTTATATTTGTGTTGTCTAACATTAGTCATACATGGCATTTTAGGTCTTGAAGTTTGGTTAGAGCAATTGAGGTATTGTATGTTAAATTTTATTCAATTTCAAATCATTTAAATTTAAATTACCCTGTGTAGGTACTGGCTAACATATTGGACAGGTCTAGATGATATGTTATAATATTCCCTAATTTTTTTCTATTTTAATATAATTTTGAACTACCAGACAAGTTACAAGAATAACACAATATACCCCTATAGATTCTTCATCCAGATTCCCCAATTGTCATCATTTTCTACATTTTCTTTATCATTCTATCTATTTATCTATCTGTTGTATTTACCTATTTTTTTCCTGAACCATTTGAGTATACATTTCTTATAGTTTGGCTCTTGAATGTCCCCTAAAGGCCCATGTATTAAAGACTGAGTTTCCAGCCTGTGATATTGTTAGATGATGGAACCTTAGGAGGTGGGATCTAGTAGAAATAAGTTAGGTCATTTGGGTTGTACCTTGAAGGGGATATTGGGATGTTGGTGTCCCTCCTTTCTTTTCTTCCTGGCTGCCATGAGGTGAACAGCTTTGCTCCAAATGTTTCTCCCCACCATGATGTTCCATCTCACTACAGGCTCAAAAGCAATGGAGGCAGCTGACCATGGACTAAAATCTGAAACTATGAGCAAAATAAACCTTTTCTCCTTTTAAGTTGATTTTCTTAAGTCTTTTGTCATAGTAATGGAAAGCTGAGAAGTACAAAGTTGCAGACATGATGCCTCTGTTCCCCAAATACTACTGTATCTTATAAGGCCAAGAACCTTCTCTTATATGACCACAGTTTAATGACAAAAACTTGGGAAATTAACACAGAAATAATGCGAGTATGTAATTTGGTGGTTTTGAAAGTGGGATTCCAGACCAGAATTATCAATATAACATGGGAACTTGTTAGAAATACAAATTCTTGGCCTCCAGCCCAGTCTTACTGAATCAGAAATTCTGGGGGTGAGGCTTGACCATCTGTGTTTTGACAAGCTCACCAGGTGAGTTTGAAATAAGCTAAAGTTTGAGAATCACCCATCTTATTCATAATCCCTATTCAAATTCAGCCCATTTGTTCAAATTATGTCCTTAGAAAGGACATTTCTATAAAAATGGGTTTTGTTACACAGGATGCAATCTGGAATCATCTGCTTTAATTTTAAAATGATGGTGGTTTCTATGGATTGAGCTGCATTCCCAGCAGGGATGTTGCCATGGCGATGACTGCAGGCTGCACTAGAGAACAGCTGCCGGGCTTCCAGGGCTCTCTGTGCCCCTGAACTGTCAGTCTGCCACTTCCCAGGCTTCTAAGCACTGACGTGTGCAGATTGCTCCACTCTCTTTAGCAGAGATATTTCTCAGTTTCAGACACAAATTTACTTGTACAGGTCTGACATTATCTTCTTTTTATTAAGGTAAAATAATGCTACAGGAAATGGCAGGTGGCCAAACTTGCACCGTATAAAATATTGTTATCATCAGTGAAATGGATGATATTTTTATCCCCAAGTTCCCTTATGTGTAATTTAATTTGAGACCTTTCAAGACTGAAACATGTAAATGCATTCATGAAGCCTCTACATCTACTACCCAATCCTTTGGGAGACATCACCTCATATTATGGGAGTAAAAAAGCAAATGACCAGACTCTCACAACTTGTCAAAATTTAACCACATCTTTGATGTGATATAGTTCCTAAACTACCAAAGAGGCAGAGTACTTCAGATATTGTTTTTTTCTGTTGTGGAGGAAGTGTAATTACTTGCTGTCCCATTTTCTTTCTCCATGGATTCATACATTTTCATCTCTGCTTAGGTCATTTCCTATCCCAGCGTCTTTCCTCTTAGCCCCAAATCTTCAAGTTTTAACCAGCATCCCAGGCCCAGTGTGAATTCTGGTTCCCCCTCTCCTATAACCAAAGGCTCCCATAAGCATGGTTCTTCTCCCACAAACAAAAGTTCCCATGATCTTCTGACTGAAAGTAACTCCCCATCACTCTGTCCCCAACTCTCATAGCATTTTTATCTTGTATGGTGCTCAACACAACATTCATCTCAGACTCTCAAAATGTGAGATTGACTTTTTCCTGATTAATTTTTCTGTCACATCATAATCCTACATAGTGGACCACAAAGAAGTTAGCACTCAAGACTTTTCCCTCTTTTATTAATTCTAAGTCATTTTGCTTCTAGCTTCCTCCTACCTCATTTCTGTAAAACACTGGTGAAAAAAAGATACAATATTGGGTATTCCCACCCATCATATATATCAAAAGTAATTTGTCCTACTTATTTGGCTGGTACCTAACAATGTACTGAACTAGAGACCTGTGAAATATAGCCCAAAGGTCTTTCATTTGGCTAGGGAGAAGACATCCTCAGAAAGCTTAGGATTAGTAGACACAATAGAGATTAGGTAAGGTCACATATATTCAGGAGAGAGGGGCACAGTTGTGGGAAGAACATATGGAATTTGGGCACAAAGCAGTAAAGGTTGGACTTTTCTATTCTCTGGTGATATTAACTTTGCTGAGGCTGGCTTTGAACTCTTGATCCTCCTGGCTTAGCTTCTGAGCTGCTGAGATTACAGGTGCATACCGGCCCTAAGTATTTTTTGAGGCTATTGTAAATTGATTTGTTTTCCTGGTTTCTTTTTTAGCAGATTCCTTATTGATGTAAAGAAAAGCTAATGATTTATATATGTTGATTTTTTTTATCCTGCTATTTTTCTGAATTTATTAGCTCTAGAAGTCATGTGATGGAGTTTTTTCGATATTCCAAGTATAAGATCATATTTTCTGTGAAAAGCAATAATTTGCTTCCTTCCTTTTCTATTTGTATCCCTTTTATTTCTTACCTAATTGGCTCTTGCTAAAATTTTAAGTACTATAATGAAAAGGAGTGGTAAGGGCAGACATGTTTGTTCTGTTCCTTATTTCAGAGGAAATGTTGTCAGTTTTTCCCTGTTCATTATGATGTTGGCTTTGGGTTTATCATGTATAATTTTTATGACTTTTTTTTGGAGGGGGAATACCAGGAATTGAACTCAGAGGTACTCCACCACTGAACCATACCCCTAGCCCTATTTGGTATTTTATTTAGAGACAGGGTCTCACTGAGTTGCTTAGTGCCTCACTTTTGCTGAGGCTAGCTTTGAACTCATGATCATCCTGCCTCATCCTCCAGAGCCACTGGAATTACAGGAGTGTGCCATCATGCCTGGTTAATCTTTATGACTTTTAAGTAAATTTTTGCTATCGCTAATTTCTTCAGGGTTTTTAACATGAATGGAGGCCAAGTGTTGTTAAAGCCCTTTTCTACATCTT